AGTGAATTTTCAGTTTTAAAATATGTATTAATACAGTATTAATCAGTATGCCCAGATAGTCCAGTCCATGCAATTTTTCTAAAGTCATTTTGCAAGCTTCAACTTTATGTTTTATCAAATATTACAGGAAGGCCACACAGACAAATGTTTGCTTGAGCCATTGAACATTGATAAGAGTATTGCCATTGATCTCTTTATTTTTAATTGGACCCTTGGTGAAAACATGCTGGGCAGTATCGAGGTTGTAAAATGTGGTAAAATATTGCCGATTATTGAAGCTCCTTTGGCAAAACAAGTCAAGATTTCAACGCAAAAGGAAGATTGCATCAAAATTGAGACTTTGCCGTTGTCTGTGTATTATAAATCTAACAATATTGTCAGTTTGAATGGCACGGTAAGTTGGATATCCTGAAATTATATCCTAAGGATTAGGGTTGGAATTAGGATTAAGAGTTGGGATTATGGTTGGGATTAAATTAGGGCAAGGCTTAAGGGTTAAGCTAATATTAGATTAGGCTTACAATGCATTAACTTGCCTTTTGACCTATTGTGCCTTACTTTATTCTTTTACTTTGTTTAATCCCTGGGTAATGCTCAATGGGCTAATCTGCCAATATGTCTAGTTAACCCACTACTGTAAGCTAATCTGCCAATGTGTCTGGTTAACCCACTACTGTAAGTTCCATCCTGCTCTAATGTGCCCTTCCATATTCTTTTACTCTGTCTGACAGCAGATGATTTTACTTATCATTAGGAGAGCACTACCTGCCTGGTGCATGATGGGTTAAGCTTTGAATTAGGAGAATCAGGATTAAATTTGGGATGAAAGTTATGTTCAGGTTATGGTTCAAGTTATGGTGGGACTAAAAGCTACATAATTACAATCAGACAATTACATAGTAGTACAGGATTCAGACCTGACTGCCGGGGTGAAAAAGGCACATCAACTGACCACTCTGTCAGTTATGTTCACATGAAAGATTATGGTGCTTCATAATGATTATTTGAACATTTTCTAATTCACAGTTCACCCTGCACGTACGAAACAACACAGAACAAGGTTTATACAACACATTTTTTCACAACTGTCATCTTGGCGAGAATGATAACCCTATTGATATGACGGTATGTGAAATATCTTGCACAACATTAATGTGTAAAATATAGCTTGTTATGTTGAATGGTTAACAACTATTTTCTTCATATTTTGTGCTCTAGTTGACAGTGGTAGAGAAGAATGATGGTAGTTATTTGTCCGCTGGGGAAGTAAGCTTCTTGCCTAACAGTTTCACTGCTTTTATTTTGTTTTGTATTTTATTTTTCATTATTTTTTTTTGTTTAAAGGCCCCACTACCAATGGTTTTTGGATTCTTTGCTGTGGTGTTTTGTATTTTATCATGTATTTGGTTTTATGTTCTTCGACAATACTGGTAAGACGCTGTGTTTCCCAAAAAGTATGCTTATATACAGCTTGTCAAACATTTTTCATGGTAGTACAATTTATTTTCATATTTGTATATAGGTCTGAAACATTCAAAGTTCATTACTTAATGTTTCTTTTGGTATCGTTGAAAGCCTTGGATGTCCTCTTGAACGCTGTAAGCCATGACAGATTTATATTATTTTGAGTATTATATTTATTTATCATGTAAGTTTGAGTATGGTTTTGAACTTGTCCAGTTTGTTTTGAATTGAGTCCGTTTATTGTTGTTCTAAAGGTTAATTATTACTACATTGGTCGAGATGGAACGAAGGCAGAATCCTGGGCAGTCCTACATTATATTGCTCATTTGTAAGTGAACTACTGGTTTTAACAACTTTGGTGAACAATGTTCAAGCGGAAAAAGATTGCGAACAGGACTCTAAGACCCATGCGAGGCACTCTCTTGTTTCAATTATTAGGTGTAAAAAGATAATAACTGGTAATCCTTATTCAAAAATTGATATCTTCTCCATGTTTTAGGTTTAAAGGTGGTCTTCTCTTTACAACAATAATTCTTCTTGGAACTGGCTACTTCTTTATTAAACATGTTCTGTCTGGACGAGATAAAAAGATATTTCTTATTGTCATTCCATTACAGGTAACATTTTTTCCAAGTTTGAAAAAGCTTAGTAAAATTTTCGAAATAATTTTTCAGGTATATGACTACAACAAGGCACTATAGTCATTTGCAATCTCAATTTGTTAAGAAGGAATTTTTTTTTGTTCTGTAGATATTTGACAACATTGCTTTGATTATAATGGAGTCAACAGAAGAAGCCCAGGCTGATTATATTACTTGGATATCCTTTTCATGATGCTGATTATGATGGTGGGAGTGATGGTGATTATGATGATGGTAGGAGTGATGGTGATTATGATGATGGTGGGAGTGATGGTGATTATGATGATGGTGGGAGTGATGGTGATTATGATGATGGTGGGAGTGATGGTGATTATGATGATGATGGGAGTGATGGTGATTATGATGATGATGGGAGTGATGGTGATCATGATGATGGTGGGAGTGATGGTGATTATGATGATGGTGGGAGTGATGGTGATCATGATGATGATGATGATTGTGGTGATGATGATGATGGTGGTGGTGATTGAAGATAGTGGTGATGATGGTGGTTATGATGATAATGATGATGATGATGGTGGGAGTGATGGTGATTATGATGATGGTGGGAGTGATGGTGATGATGATGATGATGACGATTGTGGTGATGATGATGGTGGTGGTGATTGAAGATAGTGGTGATGATGGTGGTTATGATGATAATGATGGTGATGCATGGTTAAAGTGACAGTGGTTGTAGTGGTAGTAGTGATGGTATTGTGGTGATAATATTTTCGTTTATGATTTATTATATTTTTACCTTAATTTTGTTTACAAACAAATATTCCTTCTGGTAGATCTCCTATGTTGTGGTGCAGTGCTATTCCCAGTAATATGGTAAAGTTACAAATAACTCGTACAGTACACGTCTGATTAATGTAAATTAGTGCACTGCCAATGACTTAGTACGTTGTTCTGTTTTGTCAGGGCTATCAGACATCTCAAGGAAGCCTCGCAGACTGATGGAAAAGGTTGGAAAAACTTTTTATGCGAAACGTTTGTTGTTAAACGTAACGTTTGATGTTAAAACGACTGCGTATTTTCTAAGGAATGAATCTTGAATCTTTTTCATTTTGTGTTTCTACAGCGGCTGTGAATCTTGCTAAACTCAAATTATTCCGACAGTTTTACATCATGGTAAGACAATTTTATTAAGCAAAAACGACTTGTCCATTTTATGAAGCCAAAACTGAAACACTGGGATTATATACCATACATATTTATCTTTTTCTTTAGATTGTCTGTTACATCTACTTTACAAGAATAATTGTTCAAATAGTGAAGGTACTTACCGTATACCTGTGAGATTTCTACAATGTGCTTTCTGAAATGTTCTCCTAAGTAATATAGGCTTTCTATTAAATTATACAGAGCTGCAGTTCGAGAAAGATACAACTATCAGCTTATGTTTTTCTGTATTGTATCTCCTTAGGCTGCGTTAATTCAAGACTTTTAATTGTACCTGACTGATACGCCAATGGTTGTTGCCGCATATTTGCGCTAATACAAACTCAGTACTCAACGTGTATTTAGTCATTAAAATAGGGTTCATAAAGTACAGGTTTCTGAAAAGTATGTTCAAACTACGAGGTAGAATAGAAGCACAATTGCAATATACAAGCAATCGACTCCAACGTTTCTGAGTGCCATCAGTCCAATCATGTTTCATGCCAAGATATATGTCAGACACATGATATACCAACTAAATTACGGTAATCGAACACATTGGGCTTGGAAAGGTCAAACTGCGTACAGGTTACACTGGCCGTTTTCACTAAGTTAGTATTTTAAATATTTTTAGATAACAGTTCCATTTCAATATTTGTGGTTGGACGAGGTAAATTGTTAATAGTTGATATTCATTGGTTAGAGTCAATTCATTTGAATAATTATGGATAAAACAATAAAAAATAAAGAATTTATAGGATAAAGAATAATTATAGATAGGAAGATAAAGGAATTATATTCATCATATAATTGGTTAGAGTTGATTCATTTGTAAATTCAATTATTTGTCCATTGTGTTTCAGTTTTTCATGAATCTGTCAATGATGGCCTTGTTTATCATGACTGGGTAAGTTCAGCCATTAAACGGTCACACTCAGCATTCACTGCAGCCGAAAGTTCTTATCTTTCTTCAAATACACTATTCCTGTTGATAAGACTGACAACCCCCATCAGCATAGCTGTAACCTGCGACTCCAAGAACGCCTGATCGCAGGTTAGCAGCCATAGCTGTGGTTAAATACATATGGTGATTAAATACAGTAAATGCCATTGATTTAGATATAAATTCCGTCCCGGATCAGACAATCCGTATCTTCATGTTTCCCAGGACTCTGACGGGGAGGAGATGGACGAAGTGTAAGTACTGAGAGAAAATATCTTCAAACCTTGTAATACACCCTACCTTTCATCCTACCAGAAAGTATGTCACTTTGGGTATAGAGCCTCGTTTTGACGTTTTCGTGTATGTGACATCAGCAAAAGCTAAACATCTCAATCACAGAAACGAGGCTTTATAGCCAATGTGATGTACTTTCCGGATTGTATTCACTATTCTTGACTTGCAATCAATCCCTTGAGAATTAGAAGACAATGGCATATGGCGGCCATGTTGGTGCCAAATTCAAAAGAAGTTAATGAGATTCTTTTGTTGAAAGGGGACCATCATTGCAATTCAAGAATTGATGATCTTGATTGTTTTCAGTAAAAGAGATGTTGACATTTAACTACACTTGTAGGAGCAAGGAAATTAAACTACATCACTTCATTCTATTTATTTGCCACCAAACACAAGACTACACAATGATGATGAAAAGAATAGACCCTTTCAAGGTTAACGACGCCATAATGAAACACAATAGTGCAAGGGGTGCAAACACAATGGTGAAAACAATGGATTCAGGATGGCGTCCTTAAACTTGGAAGGACATATTAACATTATTTTCTCACTCTGATAACTGCAGGTTGACCACCATCTGCTGTACGATAGTGCTTAGGGAAACGTGCCTCTATATATCTTGTCTTATTTTTGTAGGGTGACACAGACTGGACTGACAGAGAACGTGACGCGAGTTCAAAGTAGCAGTGACACCAACGCCGTTTCAAGAGTCAAACTATCCGCTGCTTAACACATTTAAACAGTGACTGATGCAATAATCGCACGATCAACATTTAAAGTTTTTACTGAATAAATAAGATCTGTAATCAGTAAATTGGAACTGATTAATACTGTTCAAAATAACACCAAAACACAATATCTACACTCCCAATTAAAGTGACGCTTAACATTTCACCGTTGAACATTTCACATGATTATATTTATATTGCGCATGTTAACATAGAGATATGTTCACATGCGCATTATATTATGAGACCAATTGTCGACTTAGAAAAAATACTCGCCTTATATTTAGCATCATAGAACCATGCGTAAGTTGCTTGGCAATCAACTATAAAGTTTGGTTTAGTTTGTTTTAAGTCGAAGAATATTGAATCAGTCACTGTTAAAAATGGTTAAAATTGCACCTGGTCAGGAACTAACAATATACTGTCCACTAATGCACCGCATCGAATGAACAATGAAATTACTGCTGGCGTTCTTGAGAACGATGCTTGTGCTGCTGCGGAAACAAGTGGGAAGGCGTCTTCTAGTGGCAAGACATTCTTTCAAAAGATTTAACATTGAACTATTTTATTACAATGTAAAGTTTAGCTTGGGAAAATAGAGGGCTTATATATAGCTTTGCGTTATACGGCAAACGCCATGCAGGCAAATAACGGCAAACGTATCAGGCAATAAAGAGTAAATGAACTTGCTGTTTTAAAACTGCAATGCATGATTGTTTCGACACAAGAAAGAAAATGTGAAATGAAAAGGTCAACGAAAATTTTGCCAAGAATGTTCGAGCCTGTTGTTTGACGTTCCCGGAAACGTGATGCTTAATAAACTTTCTAATATAAATATGGATAAAATATAGTTCACAATGAATAAGCATGGTTAGATCGTACAAAGGTATTACATGTTCTTGAATGAAGGCTATCCTGTGATCTGATGTTGAGTTTGGGATGTCCTATATGTCCTATGTCCAAAATCCTGCCCGCTGCAAATCAGGCCCCCTATAAAATTGGGGGCCTGCCACGCAGGCTAGTCACGCACTCGTGCCTAATCCCCTGCTCTTTTCGCCACTTCTTCCAACATGGCGGAATGTGGGAATATTTTTATGGAAATTGGCTAAATTATATTGGCAATATTAAATAAAGTGGATAATTTTATGATAAAGAAACAACATATATATGTTGTATAACTATTGTTTTAACAAGATAAAATGTTCATGTGACAAAAAGTGTGGATTTCGGTGGTAGAAAATCGAAATTAAAATGGGTGCCCAATGGAGTGTCTATTACTCCTACACCTTGGGCGAACCTTTCGAAGTTGCCTCCGATATTTGGGAAATTTGCCCGGCAGCAAGAAAAGACGATGATGAGGAATTTACAGTGTTTATACATGATAAAGAAGAGCATCAGAATAGCGGAGTTGACTTAGCAATTAAAGTGAGAACTTTAATATGTTTTATGCGTATGTTTATATAAAAATGACAAATAAGTGAATATTGAGATGTAATGATTCTCATCGATTAACCAAATAGTATTTATAATTTATTAATGTAGCAGTAAAATCATTTTGAATTTGGAAGTTATTTACATCGAAGATCAATATATTAACTTATACAATGTGTCACTTTGTTACTTTCTGTCTAATGCCAGACAATTTTACTTGTTAAGGGGGGACATGCCTGGGGTTAATACTTGAACCTTTAAGGCCAATTAAAAATAATTTTGGTCTTTTGTAGTATTTGCGAACATTGCGTCATCCGGGTTTACTAAAATGTCATGAGCTGTTTGATGAGCCGACAGAGGTGGCTGTTGTTACCGAGGCTGTCCTACCATTGGCTGATGTGATTGCTGACCTTCATATATTTGAAGTGATTGCTGGAATACATGATATCATTGTCACACTCACTTTCCTACATGACAAGGTAGTCCATGGTGGTCCAGTGTAGGTAGTATTCTACAATAAGTTGTTGTGGTTTGTGCTTGAACTACCTGAAAAAGATATCTCAAACATGGTTGTTGGTAGTTTTCTACAATAAGCTGCCGTGGTTTGTGTCTGAACTGCCTGAAAAAGATATCTCAAACATGCTGGTCCAGTGTAGATAGTATTCTACAATAAACTGTCGTGGTTTGTGTCTGAACTACCTGAAAAAGATATGATAATCTCAAACATGGTGGTCCAGTATAGGTAGTATTTTACAATAAGCTGTTGTGGTTTATTGTGTCTGAACTACCGGAAAAAGATATCTCAAATGTGGTGGTCCAGTGTAGGTAGTATTCTACAATAAAATGTTGTGGTTTGTGTCTGAACTACCTGAAAAAGATATCTCAAATGTAGTAGTCCAGTGTAGGTATAGTATTCTGCAATAAGTTGTTGTGGTTTGTGTCTGAACTACCAAAAACATGATACCGTACCTCAAATGTGGAGATCCATTGTAGGTACCGTACTGTAGTATACTAAGATAGGCTGACAGGAGCTTGATTTCTGTAAATAATATAGTTTGCCTTGATCACATCCAAGAAACCTGTTAATTGTTTGACATTCCCAACATTCATGCTTTGTGCCAGCGTAGGGTCTAAAAAAAAATACCTGTGGTTCCAGTTTCCAAACAGACCCTATTTTTTTCTGCCGACCCTATTATTTTTTCAACATGATTGACCGTGTGACCCTATTTTCTCTGAGTGGTTGCGGGCTGCTCATACAGCGTGCCAAAATGATGTCTGTTGTCACAATAATTATTGAACCAAATTGCCTAAATTTGTCCATAGGAACTACGCATCTCTAGTTAAATTAATATTGATGTCTGGACACTACTGAAAATTGCCCAGCAAAAAAAACACCAAAACCATGAAAAAATTATTCAAAAAAAATTTTATTTCTGACCTACCTACCCTAATTTTTTCGTGATATGAAATCTGAACCACAGGTATTTTTTAGGCATAGGCAATGGCAATAACACCAGAAAGCTTAGGATTGAAAGAGATTTATCTAGCTGAAAAATACAAGCAAAACTTTGATGTTTCAAGCAAAGGCTGTTTATCAGGAAATTACTATCCTTTCAAATGAACCCTAATCATGTTTTCTCCAGGTACTCATGATGCAATCGATTTCCTTTGTTGTAGTGCAAGCTCTCTCATAACAACTTATCGCTGGACTCTGTATTTGTTGGTCAAAATGATGCTTGCTGGAAGATTGCTGGATTTGAAAACATGTGTTCATTTAGTGAGATTGCCAAGGAGGTGAATATCTTATTATCTTAGCTTCATTTTTACACTCAGGCTTGTTGTTATTGAGATTATGACAAATAAACACTGTCAAATTGCATTTTGGTGTATATTTGCAGAAGTTAATGAACGACAGTCTTGCTCATGCGAAAGATGCATTGGGTTTGGGGAAACTTATCTGTGACATTTTAGAGCAGGTGGATTTATCAGGTACAGTACTGAGTAGAGGAAAACACTACTCATACAGTTCAGTCTTTATTTAAGCTTGGTCTCCATATGACCGTATGGTCTCCATAAACTTATGTCTTATGGTCTCCGTAAAGACTGAGTCACATTGTTCTCAACAGGTGAAAATACAACAGTTTAGAACTGAAAATACAGTAGGCAGAGTGGTTATACCTAGAGAATAGTGCCTGCCTGTGATGATTTACTCACATGTATGTGGTTTATAGGTAAAAAAAAAAACTATAATTATAATCTGGCTGTTGGGAAAGACTGACTCTATCTTTATGACTGTTACCACTATATGGGAACTTGTTTCTAATAGTACCTTGACAATTAAGCCAGCACTGACTCTATTTCATGTGTTGGTTGTTGTTCAATCATGAATGATGTATTTCATATTCTGTCTATATTGTAGATGAGTTGTCTATCACTAATTTCCAACAAAGAATACAACAGGACATTGTGGAGGCAAGCTTAGAGGTATGGGAAACAGGTCTAACCAGGGGGGTACCAGAATACAAATATGCTCCATAATCCTGGTTCAATATACAAGTAGACCTATTAGAATCCAGGCCACGTCTGTCTGCCTGAGTACATAATATTGGGAAAATTTGTGATACTTTATACCCATATTTCAACCAATTTTAACAATAATCAAAAGTATATCAAAAGTAAAATGGTCTAATATCAAAAGTATATCAAAAGTAAAATGGTCTAAATTCCAATATATACCTGAAACCCTTGACTGGGGGCCCTAGTCTTTTCCTAACAAGCATTTGTCCAATAATGCATGGGTAGGAATCTTCCATATCAATTAAAATATTTTCGTGCTAAGAGAGAGAAAAATATAAGAACCCATAAAGGAATGGTGCATTGCAGCTTATTGGGCAAATTTTGTTATTTTTCATTTCAGAAAAGACCTGAAGTTAGAAGCCTTTTAGATGATGAAATTTTTCAGTGAGTTCAATTTTGGATATATACTTTAGTTATACATGAATGAAAATGTCAGTATATTGAAATATTGTCTAACTCTAATCATGTTAATCTGTTGTTCTTTATAGGAACGAATATTGTGAAATTTTAGACTTTCTGAGAAATATAACAGTTAAAACCAGCGCAGCAAAAGCCACCTTCTTCAAGACGCTTCATGAGAGATTACATGAAGTACCTCCACATGTGATAGCCAACCGACTGCTCCATCTCTTATTGTCCCGTTTTGTCCTCATTGATCCCATTGCGGTCAACGTATTCCTCCCTCACCTTCTAACACCCCACTCAGGTAAGAACTTCAATTCACAACTTTGGCACACCCAGTGACCTCTATGTATATCTAACAATAATTGCACCCTGGCCACCACGACTTTAATTAAAATCCCCTGAACCAAGACTTTCTGCATTTGGTCAAAATTCTCTAAGTCAGCCTTAGCATAGTAGAATCTATAGTAAAATCCGGGTAAGCCTAAATGTCAATAAGGATTCATTTGCATATGGCTTGCTATGAAAGTTTACATGTCAAAATGTGCTTTAAAATTCCCTGAGACAAATTAAGTGTTTCTGTCACTATGCGTTTTGAACCTGCCTGAGTCGGTCTAGGATGAAAAAAGTTTTTTGAAAAGTCAAAATTTGTTTGAAATTTTCTAAGTCAGCATCTGTGGCCCTTTTATGTTGTAGATGATGATTGCAGCGAATCCACAGATATCCAATCACTTTTACCCGAGGACTTATACAGGTAACCATTTATCAGATATAAAGATACGAGGCGAAGCCAAGTATCTTTAGGTCTGATAAAACACGCACTGCGAATGTTTTAAATTGCTTCAAAAACGATCGATCTAGTAAGTTCATTGGCGAAGTAATTTTCAAAAAATACGTTGTGTAAGTCGAAAATATCAAAGTTAAAGTTTATGTAAATCAAGGGAAATCTCTATTGCATATAAAGATACAACACGCTCATGATTTTTCTTTGTGTTTTCCTCATAAATTATTAATGAGTTTTTGAAAGTTACTGTTAAATCTACTGTATATATAACAGTTTGCCACTATTGCCAGTAGAATTATGGTATTTTTATTGTGTTTTACAGAGAATGCTGTATTCCCATCTTGGGAAAATTATTCGAAGTCAATGATCGTCATGTTCGGCTGATTTTACTCCAGTATTTTCATCTTTACGTTGGAATGTTTGATAAAAATGTTCTCCAGTCTGTCATTTTACCTGAGGTAAGAAAATTAAACACTTTAAGGGCAAGAGAATTAAACAATATAGATGTCTCCGGCAAGTTAGTTACAGAATAGAAGAAGAAGATTTATTACCAATGACAAAAATAATAAGAAAAGATAAATATAACAAGATAAATAGAACAAATTAGGTAAACAGCCAACTAAAGCCCCGTTTACACTACGCTGAATTTTTGGTACGGCACGGATAAATTTGGTACACGTACCACTTTTTTGGTTCTACCTATTTAGGTAGTCCAAGAACCAGAAAAGTGGTACGTGTACCAATTTTATCCGTGCTGTACCAAAAATTCAGCGTAGTGTAAACGGGGCTTAAGAGACCTTAAGGAAAGCTGCCACGCCATGATTTGTCATCAATATATTTTCCCAGCCAGTGCACTTATATGAGAGGCATTCATCCACTATTTTTTTCTCAATATTTTGATGGGGGTGAATATCTCTCATAAGGGCACTGGCTAGCAACATGGCGACATCGTTGCAACGGTTACTCCAAACCAAGAAGTCCGCTTTCTCCATGGCCTGGATGCCGGAGTATTATACACGCTCGCAAAAAAAACCTCACGTCAAATATTTCTGCGGAAGCGTGAAACAACCTCCAACATCTAGGGTACCACCAAAAACATGGCTACTACATCTAATGAAAAAAATCGACATTATTTTCTCACTGTGATAACTGCAGGTTGATCACCATCTGTTGAACAAATAGTGTTGAAACGCAGGTATAATGTTATTTTCAGCTAAGACTGGGTTTGCAGGACAGTGATGACGAACTGGTGTCTGCAACGTTTAGTGCTTTACAATATTTGGTTCCGTTACTGGGTGCTCACGTTATTATTGGAGGGGAGAGACTACGACAATTCACCGAGCGAAGACCCAAGGTAACTGTAAACTTGGTAAAAAAAAACATGGTAAACTTTTTTAACAAGACTTAGGCGAGTATTAAGCAGATTTGCTCGTTGTTTTTTTTTGTTTTTTATTATTTTTTATTTCGTTGTTGTTGTTGTTGTTGTTGTTGTTGTTGTTGTTGTTGTTGTTGTTGTTGTTGTTGTTGTTGTTGTTGTTGTTGTTGTTGTTGTTGTTGTTGTTGTTGAAATCGAAAGTTTTTATTCATCAGTTTTGACTAGATAGAATTTTTTTATTTCTTAGTTTGATCCTGGAGAAGATCTGTTATCTAGCGGTGAGTAGTCCATATCTTCTTTACAAGTTTTCAGAAATACAAAACTCATCCAGAAACTCATTCTTCAGGGAATGATTGGACATTATTGGACTAATCTCTTCCTTATATTACTCAAACATTTTAGGAACTCAAGCACGGAGTATAAGAGCAGAGACATCGCATCACATGACTGCTAAAGTGAAACCAAGTGAAATACGGAGTATAAAACCAGAGTCCTCACATCTCATGACAACTAAAGTGAAAGAAGGGAAGAGTGAACAAGAGAAGACAGAAGAAAGAGAGAGAAGACGAGAGGAGACGAGACGGAGGAATGAGGAGAGAAGAAAACAACGACAGAAGACACAGATGGAAAGAAAGCTAGCAATGAAAGGTATTGATGGCGTGTTTTAAAACGTATTTTTAATGGAGGACATGCACTCAAAGTCTGAATACCTCCCCCAGCGAATTAAGTTTTGTATCGTGCACAAATTATACAGTGACCTAATAGACAATTCCATCTATCGACTATTTTTTATCTAGATAAGAAAGACGAAATCTATCATTATAGCTCAAAAGAGCATCCTAAAACAAGAACTAACGTTTCTTCATTTTCTACACAGTGAATGTGGTGGAACACGTACAAGAAAACCTCCAAGCGGAGTCTGGGGAAGACTTCCATTCTTGGGACAATTTTGAGAATCAGGAGAAGGAAGAGAGAGGAGGCGAGGTAATGAGATATCCCGCGCTCTGTTTCTGAGTGCTAGACATAAAGAAATGTGATGTTTGTGATGTTACTCTGAGTGTGGATACACACCGAGCAAGCTGAAAAGTTTACCTGACCACGATGGGAATCGAACCCGCGACCTTTGGGATACTAGTCCAATGCTCTTCCAACTCAGATACGAGGCTCTACCAACTAAGCAACTAAGCTACTTAGTTGGTAGAGCATTGGACTAGTATCCCAAAGGTCGCGGGTTCGATTCCCATCGTGGTCAGGTAAACTTTTCAGCCTGCCCGGTGTGGATGCACACTCAGAGTAACATCACAAACCTCATATTCACCTGAGTACATGACACCAACATCCACAAAAAATGTCTAACATTGTTTCATTCGTACATTTAGATTTCGGACGACTCGGATCACGGCCGCCCCAGTTCAAGCGAGATATCAATAGACTCTGGTTTCAGTGAAAGACCTCGAAACATTACTGAACAAACTAGCCCGCGTAGCCCGCTAACCTTGCGAGCAAACAGCGCGGAAGACACGAACAAGTCTCCTCGAGGGAAAGCCAGTTTTGGTATGAAACTTGGGAAGCCAAAGCAAGGGAACACAAATAAGGAAAAAGAGAAACGCATACCTTTGAAAGATTTGGCAAAACTTGCTAATGAAAATAAAGGTTTAGGGGAGAATAAAGTTGAAAATAGCCAAGGGAATGTTTTATGGATAAATGAAAGTAATTCAAATACAAGTGAAATGAAGGCTTCCCCACCAGTAGAAGCGAAGTATGAGGGTATTTTCAATTCAAATGAACTTCAAGACAATTTTAGTGTAAGTAAATTATCACTGGAGTCGTCGAGTCAAACGCATAACACTAAAAAGAGTGATAAAAAGAATTTAACCAAAACGAATTCTGGCCTTGACACAAAGTTAAATAAAGCTCAACGGTCAAATGTTCATAAAGACAAGCGCAAGAAAACGCCGTCTCGAACGTTGGTGGATAAACCGTGGGATGAATTTGATATAAAAGTGACGAAGAAGGATTCTGTTATGGATGATATTTTTGCTGACATGGCACCAACATTGTCACAGACACGCAAAGCACCAGCCAAGAGGACGTCAATGTACAGTGATGCATTAGCTGTCGTGACCCACACTGAGGTGCGCGATGTTTATGTCTGTTGTCATCCAAAGAACAAGGGCTGGTTGTATAAAACTCTTAATCACTTTTTTAATCACTATTTTGTAGTTAAATAGTGATTAACTCTCAAATACGCGCTTCTTATTGGATGACGTTTCCACTAACTATAGTTAACTTTAATCACTTTTTTATACAACCGTCCCCAGGTTATTTCGCTTGCCTCAGAGTGACAAAACGTAACAAAGCAACGGTTTTACTAACACTAACCCTATTCCAAACACCAACTATAACCCTAACCTAACCCTACTCCAAGTTTGTTTCTAAACCAATCTTGAAGAAAAACGTTTTGACGAAATGTCATTCTGGGGTCAGCGAAATAACGTCTTCCGTCTCATCCAATCAGCCTTTCTCAAGGTCGATTTTTGCGCCATTTTGGGGGTACTACCTCTACCACGTTTGAGAGTCTCCGCACCACGAAATACAACTTTTTAGTATTATAGCCTAGTTGTTTGAATAATTGTAACAGTTACAACTTTCAAAAGTCGCTTTTCACGTTGAATTGTCTATAGAATCTTTCACGAGGGCAGACAGTACCCCCAAAATGGCGGAAGAGATTATTCGCTGGCCTCAGAGTGACAAAACGTAACAAAGCAACGGTTTTACTAACACTAACCCTACTCCAAACACCAACTCTTACCCCTAATCTAATCCTACTACAAATTCGTTTCTAAACCAATCCTGAAGAAAAAAGTTTTGACGAAATGTCATTCTGAGGTCAGTGAAGTAACGTCTTCCGTCTCATCCAATCAGCCTTTCTCAAGGTCGATTTTTGCGCCATTTTGGGGGTACTACCTCTACCACGTTTGAGAGTCTCCGCACCACGAAATACAACTTTTTAGTATTATAGCCTAGTTGTTTGAATAATTGTAACAGTTACAACTTTCAAAAGTCGCTTTTCACGTTGAATTGTCTATAGAATCTTTCACGAGGGCAGACAGTACCCCCAAAATGGCGGAAGAGATTATTCGCTGGCCTCAGAGTGACAAAACGTAACAAAGCAACGGTTTTACTAACACTAACCCTACTCCAAACACCAACTCTTACCCCTAATCTAATCCTACTACAAATTCGTTTCTAAACCAATCCTGAAGAAAAAAGTTTTGACGAAATGTCATTCTGAGGTCAGTGAAGTAACGTCTTCCGTCTCATCCAATCAGCCTTTCTCAAGGTCGATTTTTGCGCCATTTTGGGGGTACTACCTCTACCACGTTTGAGAGTCTCCGCACCACGAAATACAACTTTTTAGTATTATAGCCTAGTTGTTTGAATAATTGTAACAGTTACAACTTTCAAAAGTCGCTTTTCACGTTGAATTGTCTATAGAATCTTTCACGAAGGCAGACAGTACCCCCAAAATGGCGGAAGAGATTATTTCGCTGGCCTCAAAGTGACAAAACGTAACAAAGCAACGGCTTTACTAACACTAACCCTACTCCAAACACCAACTCTAACCCTTACCCCTAATCTAATCCTACTACAAATTCGTTTCTAAACCAATCCTGAAGAAAAAAGTTTTGACGAAATGTCATTCTGAGGTTAGCGAAATAGTTGATGCCAAAAATGGCGGATTTTGGCCTTAGTGCAGAGAAAGGCAAATTAATAAATTGTCATTTCTAATAAACAATGGGTTCATTTTCATTTGTTTTTATTCAGGATGTCGATGGATGGTTGGACGATGACTGGTGATGACTAAAACAATTACAACTGATAACGGTATGATTGATTAAAGAAATAATTAACATAGAAGCCGTAAGAATTGCTGAGTCATAGGCCCGTTTCAAACGTCGCGCTTCTCATGTGCCGAACGCATTAAAGACAATAGATAATCAGCTGGAATGCCTCATTATCAATTGTTTCTAATGCGTTCGGCACATGAGAAGCGCGACGTTTGAAACAGGCCATATTTTTTATTTGAGAGATGAGCTACTGTTATTTTTATGAGCAATTCTAGTGGCGTGATTCAAATTGGTTTTGTGAACTAATAATGCGTGCACTACCGATACACTATTTAGTAAAAGGTAATGTTATGACAGACTGAAACAAGGCAACAAAATAAAATTGATACCATGAGAAAACTTGTTGTATTTATGTAAAAATAATTTAATAGCTAATATAAGTTACTAGTGATACTATACATTAGTACGAAGGACAAAGCGCTTGCCCTGTCTAGGGTCTAGTCTTAACCATTATACAGATGTCACCATAAAACACACTTCAGTCTTAGAAATCCGACCGACCGTGTTTGACTGGGCCAGCTCTATTCTTCGCTTTTGAGAAAACGGTTGGCCATGATGTTCGATAACTGTCGAATATCACTGCGTATCTTCGTCTGCTTTTGAAGATCTTTCTACATTTTCCCTTCTTTCCTCGTCTTCAAGATTCGTCCATGTTTCAGGCTTAGGGCCGCGTTTATTGCCATGCTGTAGTTCATACCTCGCTTGGTCGAACAATCTCTCAAAAGTATCGCTTTGATTCAGAGCTGACGACCGCGTAGAATGCTGGGAATACGTCTGAGATCTTTCTAAGTCAGCGGTGTCTTGTTGAGCCGGCGAACTGAATGATACTAGACCAGCGGATATGTTGTGTAGGTCATGCGCAGAACTGCTTCTCTTGACTGGTGATTGATAGCTTGGATAGGGTGTCTGTGATGTGCGGGCTGGACTGGGTGGTTGGGAACGAACCACGGGGGCTTGGGAACGAGATACGGGTGTATATGTGTGAGGCGGGTTGAAGTTTAGTCTTGAACCAAATGTGGCTCGTTCATACCCCGAGACCTTAGCTTGCAGTCGTGTGATCTAGGAAGAAAGATGATACACTGGATGATTACTATAACCAGCACATATGGTGTCGTGGTGCTTGCCCTTCAAGCTGGGAGACCTGGCTTCAATCCTTCACCTCTGCTCAAGCTCTTAAAATAATTGACGAGAAAGTACCTTTACATTGGACATCAGTAAATGGTTAGACTTTCGCGTCTTCTCGGATAAGGACGTTAAAATCGTGGGTACCTCGGATCAATTGCACAATAGCCTGTTGGGAAATCCGCTGACCAAAGTGTGAGAAACTCAATCAGCTCAAAATGTTTTACTAGCAATGATTGAAAGTCCCCTACATAATGCATAAAGAAAAAAACAACGGCCTACCTCAGATTCCTTGATAATAATCGTTTCATTCGCAAGGTGAACTTCGTCTTCCATTTCCTCAATCTGATGTTTCAAATTCATGACATGATCACTAAACGCTCTCTGCTCTTCCTGGAGTCGTTTTATTTCTTTTTCATTTCCTTTCTCCTTCTCTCGTAAGTTCTGAATGTTCAAGCGATGAGCGGCGTCCGCCTCTTCTTTCTGAGAGAATAGCTTACTGTGGTTCTCCCGGAGCTTCTCAACCTGGGAGGAATACAATGCTGGTTAAAATGTTGTATTTATGGACACATGCAGTCTGTAAATCGCATAGCCTGGACTGGAGTTATTTCCATTTCTGCTCCTGGCATCAGGAAAGCCAAGAAATCATCTGGTTAAGTGGTATGACTGTGTGTACTAAGTTAGTTCTCTCCTCAACCTGCGAACAGGCTCTCTTGGTCTATTCCCTCCTGTGCTTCGAGACTTTTTCTCCGGGTACTCTGATTTTCCTCCCTCGCCAAAAACTACTCTTAGGTTTTAGTGATCATAATTCTATAGCTTAGGTGAAGGTTTCATATTTTCTTCATCTTACATGAAGTAGCGTTGTTTTGATTCCTACCACATGCAGTTATGTAAATAAAAGTAGTTTACCTCATTTTCCAAATTGCTCACTTTCATCGAATACTGTTGTTCCACTCGACGTGATTCTTGTACGCATTTCGCCTCCGCCTGAGCTTCGCGGACTTGACTAGCGCCCAGGTCTTTCGCAAGGCGCGTACAGTCCTCTTCCTTGTTGGTTAAAAGTGCGTGTGCTTCCTTAAGTTCGTCCAAATACTCATGCTCCTTCTGTTCGCATCGTAAGAGTTTACGTCGGGCATCCAGCAACTCCGAGTGCTACAAAATACGTTGTGCGATGTGTAATTAGTGCTACGGTCGTGCTTGGCAATTTCTGTCAGTGGTGGAGTTACCTGATACATTAATTTCGGTTGTGGTTTGTGATGTGGTCATTGCATGTTGGATTCGCAGTGTTACTATGGTTTGATCTCTTGAACTAACCGTATTTTGAACTTGTTCTCTCGCCAAGCGAAGCTCTTGTGTGATCTCTGTTCTATCGTCCGATTCCCTTTGAAGTTTCGTAAATTCCTGAAGAATAAAAGTACATCAATATTCATGGATGCTGCTAAGCCTTTCTTGAAGTACCATTTTCAAACTGCATGGGATAATAAGAACACGTATTGAATGATTCACTGTAATTTCTAGGATAATTTAGGAGCACAAACCTTTTCAAATTCAGCAACTTGATCAAGGCGTTTCCTCAGTTCTTGCTGTTGCTGTTTCATCGTGTTTTCCATGTATTCCAAACGAACGGTCTTCTGTTTGATCTGTTCTTGACCTTGTGCGTATTTCGCCTTCAGTTCACTCAACTGAAAGAAAACACAAGGTTTGAGTGAATTCCTAGAAACAGTTTATTCCTAGAATACATGGGATCGAAGCTGAATCAACTTAGATTGCATTATTTTCGCACGATCGTACCTCCAATGTCTTCTCACTCAGTTCATACTGGCATTGACTGAGCGAGTGTTCCAGGACATTTGTCTTTTGTTTCAGATCACTGCGTTGTTCTTTGATTGAGATGTCCAGCTTACTCATCTGAAAGAATACAGACATGTTGTTTGATATTAGTGGCCGTGTGTGAGAGAAAATAGCCTGGGTACGAGGTTGATTGGTGCATTTTAGCAAGGGTGCTTTCCAGCTAGCATTTTTAACACGTTTTGAGCCTGAAATAATGTCGGGAAAAATGTCCAACCAAAATGAAATTTGATCAGAAACTTTCAAATTTGGTCGAACATCTTTTCGTTTGGTAAATTAAGTCAACATATAATACTTCCATGTCTTCGTTTGGTAAATTAAGTCAACATATAATACTTTATGCCAAATACTAGCCAGTATAGGTAAGTTAAATTGTTTACATTTGTTCTTTGCGGGATGATTGCAAGCGGCTTATGGTTGACCCAGTCTTTCGAGAAGGTTGATTGTTCATTTTTCCTGGACAAAATGTCCAACCAATTTAGTTCAGCGATTTACCTCTGAAACTCTGATACCTACAGGTTGACCAGAATAAAATGCTTGGTAGCAGTGACTTACCTCGGAAACTCTTTGTTTCAGCTCCCACTGACATTCCCTGACAGTCTGATCAAGTTCTGTGACCTTTGCATCCTTTTCCATCATCTCGCGATCTTTCCTCTCCAACAGTTCTTCACTTCTATTCAATCTATCTCCCAAATCATCCATCTGTTGATCTTTGTCTCGCACCTCCTTCTTGCTATCTTCTAAAACTATCTTCAATTCCTCCAACTGCTTTGCCGTACCAGAAATCTCCCCCTGTGCCTTACTCAGCTCGCTGTCAAGCGTCGAAACTTGGCCATCCCTTTCAGCCAACTTAACTTTAGTTTGCTTCAAACTTTCCTGGGCTTCATCGAATGATTTCCTTGTTTCTGTAACCGTTTCTTCCAAATGTTTAATCATTTCAACTTTACTACAAAGCTCTTTACCCCTATCCTTCAAGCTAGCAGCTAAGTCGTTCGCCTCTTCGCATTTTTTCGCTAAAACATCTCTCGTTTGTTGCAAAAGTTGTTCTAAATCTACAACATGCGACGAGCTTTGTTTCATGTCTTTATGGACACCCACTAGGGAAGTATTCAGCTCATTTAACTGTCTCGTTCTTTCGTCTAGGTCTCGTTTAGCGTTTTCCAACAACGCATGTAAGTTCCTAACCTCTTCACGATTCGTATCTCTCTCGCGATTCAGCTCTAGTTCTAGGATACCAGCTTCTTGTTTAAGTCGAGTTAGGTTATGTTCGTGTTCGCTTAGTTGTTTTTGGTTTTGTCTTAAAAGTTCATTTCGTTCTGTTAGTGTCTGTTCCAAAAGTTCACATTCCTTGCATTTCTTACGGTATTCATCTTTTTGTTGTTCTAAAATTTCCTGCAGTTTGGAGACCTAAAGAAAGGAGATATATGCTGATATTAAGTCCATCGAGTTTCTCACTAATTGATGCAACAGGCTGTTGTCCAATTGATAGGGGATCCGAGGTACCTACAATTTTAAAGTCCTTATCTGAGAAGACGCGAAAGTCTAACCATTTACTGATCACAATGTAAAGGTAGCTTTCTGGAAAGGGTGTCTGCAATTAAAGGATGGTCATTGCTGGACCTACAGCAGGAACAGTTTAATTCAAGTGTGGCTGCTCAGGGAGAACAGTTTAGAACTGATAGAGGTATCAATATAAAAATCATGCACCTAAACTATACCTCAGCTATCTTGCTATTCAACTCGTATTCATGCTGCTCCTTCACTTCAGCCAGCCGTTCAATATGAGCTTTCATTTCTTGTTGACATTCCTGTAAGGCTTTATCTAATTTCACTCCTCGCTCGCTCTCAACTGTCGCTTTTTCCTGTAACTGTGACAATTTTTGTTCGTATTCCTTGCTCTGGTTTTGTCTGTGTTGCAGCTCACGTTGGTGCTCAGTGACTGCTTTCTCGAGTTCTTGTACACGAGAAGTTTTTACTGTTACATCTTGTCGGCAAGCTAAAGAACACAACATATTTATAAGACGTTTGTGGCTCTTTCGTATAGATGTTGTTATAGTTAAGGTCACTTGAGCAACTAAAAAACTTTATTGTTGAAAACGTGTTCTTATGATTATTGTTTCCTAGCCAAGTTTCCCGAAGGGAGTGAAACTTTGTTTTCTAGCCAAGTTTCCAAAAGGTGGACAAACCTAGAAGCATTTCAATGTTTCCACAACAAAAATCACAATTGGGAAACAAATTAGGTTTCTGGATGTTTGGGAAACATTTCTCCATACACACCTTTTAGCACTGTATCCAACTGTGAGACTTGATTATTTTTGCCTTCATACTCTCTCTGAAGCTAAATGATTAAGAAAAGAACATTCTATTTTGTCACTCTGATAACTGCAGGTTGACCATCTACTGTACGATAGTGCTCAATAAATCCCGGCTACGAACTCAGGGATGGATCCAGCATGATCTGGTAGGGGGGGGAGGGGGCAGCTCTGGTGCCAAGTTGTGTCGGTCATGTGTGCCGCCCATCAACTTGCTTCACTACTGCAAAGTCTTGCTTGACTACAGTATTTGAATTGTAATTGTTGTTCACAGTTCGCTTATCAACATGTTATTACTCAAATTACTGTATCTCATTTTGTCTCTAATAATTTTTTGCTTTATCATGAAAAATAGCACCCCTGTCCGGGGCTAGGGGGGTGCGCCACCCCCCAGTAAATCCATCCCTGTACGAACTCATAAATGATAGCAAAACTTTAATAAATCAAACCTGATCAATCTGTCTTTCCAATTCCCGACAATGTTCCGTATGCAAACTCCGTGTGTTATCCAACAAGTTACATTGTTCAGTCACCTCTGCCTCTCTGGTTTTCAGACATGACTCCAGTTCATCGATATAGTTCTGTTTTTCTTCCACATTCTGTTCCAAGTCATGCACTCTGCTGGCACACGTTCCCAGTTCTGATATCTTCTGATCCAGCTCTCCATCAATGTTTCTAATCTCCAAACTTTTCTTTTGGACCTGGGTAAATATCAATGGGCACTACTCAAGGAACATACTTTGAAAGAGATTATTTCGCTGGCCTCAGAGTGACAAAATGTAACAAAGCAACGGTTTTACTAACACTAACCCTACTCCGAACACTAACTCTAACCCTAATCTAACCCTACTCCAAATTTGTTTCTAAACCAATCTTGAAGAAAAAAGTTGTGACGAAATATCATTTTTTACGAAATAGTTGATGCCACAGACTTTACGGCGCTTTCCATTTAATCCTGAATTTTTGTCTCTGTATCAAATGGAAAGATCTGGTCAACGTTTCTCAAATATCTAGCGAAAATGGACCTCATTCTAATGTTATCTAAATTTTCCGGTCAGATAGGTCGGAAGCCCAAATGTTTTGTGTTCCATTCAACAATTTGACCGTTCTGGCCATGTTAGTTCGCCCGCAATTCGCACGCGATGGAAACGCATATCGTACGTGGTTTCATCTACTGCCAAATTCCTCCCCATAATCTCACCTCGCGTTGTAGTTGGTTATTCTTATCCAACGTGCTGTCCAACTCAGCCTTGACTTCGACCAAGCGGACATTTTTTTCATTCACTTTCCCTTCCAAACTGTTCACCATCATGTCTTTATCCGCCAGCCTTTCTTCCAGTTGTATTAGCTGGGTTGAATACGATGCTGCTTGGTCCTCCATCTCTGATATAATCTGTTCCAATTGCTGCTGTTTACGATCGTTGATCCTGTTTCGTTCCGCGATAAATGATAACTCGGATCTCAGACCTGTCATCGTCCCTGCGTCTTTAAGAGACGGATAGAAAATATTTCGATTTGTCATGATAGGTTAAAGTTATCTCTATGTGATGGCCAATCAGTAGAAATAAGTTTTTGAAGAAAGTGTTTTTATATAATAGAAATATTTACCTTTACTGGAACTGATACCGCTGTCGACAGCCTATATAAAGAACGGTACACGCGTAAAAATTGAGAAAATCGACAACTTGTTCCAGGTTGATATCGACAGGCGTGAACAAGGTTGTGCGGCCCACTTTGAACAGTATTGTCAACATGTTGTTACAGCGTTGTTCAACTGTAACAACTTGGAACAACATGGTTGCAGACAACTTGTTCATAGTTGGCGGCACAACATTGTTCACGACTGTCGATATCAATTTGGAACAACCTGTGCGTTTTTAGCCGTGTAACAGAGATCATCTATTTATGGTTAGCTATAGCGAGTGTCAGATGTAGCCAACGCGCTGTTGTGCCCGAGTCAAGCCTGTTACTAAAGGTTGAAGATTTAAATACAATTGTGGTTGATTCTCCCCTTTCTTTCGAACTTTTCCCCACCTTATATCTATGTTCCGCGATCAGACATGAGTTAATGTATTGTTGCCAGCCAGCGGTGTCCTAGTAAGCGTTCAACTTGAACTGCATCGTTTAGCTGCAAGGAATGATGTTAAGCATCCCTACCACTACAAAGAAATGCATATCAATCGAACCTACCGGTGGTGTTTGATAAAGCTCGCGTCTCATACTTTCTTCTTGCACTCTCTGAACCAAACCTTCTAATCTGACCATGTCCTGCTTGCTCTGTTCAATCTCTTGTTGATAATACTGTATCTTCTCATGTTGTAATCTGATGATCTCCTGAAGTCCAGCTGTGTCGTCCTCTCGTGGTGATTTCTTCTCGAGTTGACCAACTCTCTGGCTCTGTCGAGCTACAGTTGACCTCAGTTCCACATTGTCTCTCTCCAGGGAGCTCTTGTATTCCTCGCTGACCACGCCCTCTGATTGTAGCAAGCTAAAGAGATTGATTCAATATTTAGACACAGAGTAAACCAGGAAACATTGATTCCAAGCCATGTTTCTCAAAGGTGGACAAACCAAGAAACATAGTGATGATTGTTTACTAGCCATGTTTCCCAAAGGTGGACAAACCAGAAAACATTGTTTCCTAGCCATGTTTCCCAAAGGTGGACAAACCAGGAAACATTGTTTCCTAGCCATGCTTCTCAAAGGTAGACAAACCAAGCCATGTTTCCCAAAGGTGGACAAACCAGGAAACATTGTTTCCTAGCCATGTTTCACAAAGGTGGACAAACCAGGAAACATTGTTTCCTAGCCATGTTTCTCAAAGGTGGGCAAACCAAGCCATGTTTCCCAAAGATGGACAAACCAGGAAACATTTGTGAGAAACATTTGCCTGAGTGTCTAGGCAATTACCTGATTTCTTCTCTCAGCTCTGTGAGTTGTCCTTCCAGCGATGTATTTTGACCCAGCAACGCATTTCTTTCATTTGTTAGTTCATTCAATTCCCGATCCATCTTTTCCATCTCTTCACATCTCTGAAAAAATAAAATCACCACAACAGTTTCAAACGACTGCTGTATTGGCGTTGAAAAAGACCTGTTATGCATGAGAAACTGTTTCATTCTTTCTTACAAAAGAAGAATCTTATTCAGGACACTCAAAACTTGCGGAACACTTGAAACTGTCAATTCCTGTTTTATTTCTATTTACATAACTTCATGTTACTAGAAAATGCAAAGTTGTAGCTCCTGTGTTGTGGTTGACATTGTTCTAGCGCTCCTATTAGTTGTTTAATTTTAAAAATCCTACCAGTTTTGTTTGTTGTTTTTCTCTGTCTTTATCTTCCATCATTTTGGCCGTCAGTTGTTCCATATTCTGTAAACTTTCTTCTAACTTCGACTGCAAACTAAAACAACCAACAAGAATTTAGTGAATTGTATGGTTTGTTCCATGCTAGCTAATTCCAACGTTCCCTACATACTGAGTCTGACAATCCATCTATCAGGTACTATACGGCATTAGTAAACTACATATCAGGATAATATCACACATGATTTGTTCCAAGAAACATTGCCAGTATACTAGATCATGCAATTCTACTTTGTCTTGTGTTTATACTCAAAAACTGATGGTCCCTCAGACAAACGCCTTAGATGAGCTATCTCCATATATAGATTCTTACTGTTTGCTAAGTGTAAGTTCTTCCTCATATTTTGTTTGAAAATCTTGTGCTGTTTTCAAGATTTGGTTAAGTTCTAGAGTTTTGGTTTCTAATTGGTCATTTGTGTGCAAGAATTTCTCCTCTGCCAACCTTGAGTAAAGAGAAAAAATAATTTAAAATAATTCCAACACAAGGATGTAGGTGGATTTCACTACTGGCACAATCGTACAGCAGATATTGGCTCGTAGCTATTGTCTCTCGTAATGGTTTTTGAAATCAGTATATCAAATTCTGCCATAATTTTCACCAACCTCAAAGCTTGGTGTTGAGAAGATATTTCTTTCTCTAAAGTAATGATGCGGTCTTCGTATTCATCAACACCTTGTTTCTCTTTTGCCAAATCCAGGTGCAATATCTTCACCTAGCCAAGAAAATCCAAGAAACATACTGTAAATTATTAATACAACATGCATTTCTTGGGAAGCAGAGGGTGCGTCTGATGTGATTAGCACTTTGAGTTAATCCTGATACTGCAGATCAAGTGCATTAACGAGGACACTGGCAATTAGTTGATTGGGGGTAGGGGAGCACTAGAATTCTAGGGGGGGGGGGGGGGGAGAACATTTTCAAATCAACACTTTATGAAATGTCATTCTGGGAGTGATTTGACATACAGAAACCAAGTCAATTTTGTTCATTTTTTCATTTCAGGCATTCAAAAATGAAATCATCGGAATTCTCCCCCTATTCTATACCCCTACCACTCTACTACTTATTAAATTATCTTCTACCTCTGGGGAGGCCCCCCCCCCCTAACTCTAGCCTCTGTAAATTATGCTATTAATTGTAGCTGTCAGACAAATTATGCATTTTAACGAGCCGGTACTAAACCCACCTTGCTTCTCTCTTGTTGCAAGTCATATCCCATATTCTCTAACTCACTCATCAGTTTATTATTCTGAGTGACAAGTGATGTATTCTTTTCCCGCATTTTTTGTAATTTTGTTCGCACGCTGTCACTGCCATTATAATCGTCGCCATTCGTGCTAGAGTACTGCATGTCAATCTGAGAAGAGCCGTTGAGAACTAAATGAGCTAGCTACCCAGTATAGATAAAGTTAGTTTAGTTTAGGTTTCCTCCTGCAGTAACACTGGATTAATAGAGATGATCCTTACTGGACCTCTAGGAAGAACAGTTTAGAACTGATAGAGCTATCCAGTATAGATAAAGTTAGTTTAGTTTAGGTTTCCTCCTGCAGTAACACTGGATTAATAGAGATGATCCTTACTGGACCTCTAGGAAGAACAGTTTAGAACTGATAGAGCTATCCAGTATAGATAAAGTTAGTTTAGTTTAGGTTTCCTCCTGCAGTAACACTGGATTAATAGAGATGATCCTTACTGGACCTCTAGGAAGAACAGTTTAGAACTGATAGAGCTATCCAGTATAGATAAAGTTAGTTTAGTTTAGGTTTCCTCCTGCAGTAACACTGGATTAATAGAGATGATCCTTACTGGACCTCTAGGAAGAACAGTTTAGAACTGATAGAGCTATCCAGTATAGATAAAGTTAGTTTAGTTTAGGTTTCCTCCTGCAGTAACACTGGATTAATAGAGATGATCCTTACTGGACCTCTAGGAAGAACAGTTTAGAACTGATAGAGCTATCCAGTATAGATAAAGTTAGTTTAGTTTAGGTTTCCTCCTGCAGTAACACTGGATTAATAGAGATGATCCTTACTGGACCTCTAGGAAGAACAGTTTAGAACTGATAGAGCTATCCAGTATAGATAAAGTTAGTTTAGTTTAGGTTTCCTCCTGCAGTAACACTGGATTAATAAGAGATGATCCTTACTGGACCTCCAGGAAGAACTGAGTTTAGAACTGATAAAGCTATCCAGTATAAATAAAGTTAGTTTAGTTTAGGTTTCCTCTTGTAGAACACTGGATCAAAAAGGGATGGCCATTACTGGACCTCTAAGGAGAACAGTGATTAAAAATGTTAACGTGTATCATGCGGTACTACCTCTCGCCCACTGTGGTTTGAATGCTGTGATCGTCTGTTTGAATCGCTGAGCGAGCTTGTTGACCTGACAGGTGGAATAGATGGTAGGTGGTATGAGGAGTTGAGCCGTTCGTTTGGTAATTCATTATTATTATCTGATAGCGAGGGACTAAGGTCGGCCAGGGTCAGTACTGGAGGTCTATCTGAGTGTTCAGAAGATGGTCTTGATGAGTGAGAACTAAACGTAAACAAGTCAATGAAAATATTGTCAATATTGGTCTGATTTAATGGGAGGTGATGAATGAACTTGTACATTCAAACAGATCGATAGCAGGGGGGATCCAGCAAGGCTTTTCTAGGGGGTGCTGGGTGTTTCTTTATAATTCTTTAGGGGATGGTGCACTTTATAATTCTTTAGGGGATGGTAGAGCATTCAAATTAATTGGCTTCCTCATGACTCGAACGCCAAAGGCGAGCTCCCTAGGGGATCCAGGGGTATATTATTACACCATATTTCTGAATTTGATTTTTTGCACCCCTGTTGACCAAGGCCAACAGGGGTGTGCACCCCCCCTATAAATCCACCCCTGATTGATAGCTGTCAAGACAAACACTGTGACACACATCTTGTTATTTTTTACTCACTTTTAAAGTAACCTTGTCTGAGCCGCATACACAGGGAAGTACAGTACCACACATGCAAACACAACTATGTAACATTTGAAAATACTGCCTGTAAACTTACTGTAATTGTCTGTCAGGCAACAGTGCTGTTAGATTACCAATTGAATCTGAATTTGTTATTCCATTTAGTAGAACTGATGAACTGTTATAGATTAAAAACAGACAGGATATGTACAGGTGGGATAATGGTAATATGCTATATATAGAGCACTATCGTGCAACAGATGGTGGTCAATTAGCAGTTTGACAGTATGCACGCTTCTGGAAACTACATCACTTTGGCTATAGAGCCTTGTTTTCATGATTGAGATGCGGCCTTTACAGTGCGTCTACTGTAAGTGGGGCCACTTAGAGAACACTAACCAATCACATTGCAGAACAGAAAGTGAAAAATCAACAAACGGCACATTAGCCAATCAGCATTAGGCCAAAAACAATTCGAACAAATAAACGAATGTCAAACGGTAAAAATAGACATGTAAAAGTAACATTGCAGTTAATGGCTTCCTGAATCTTTCTTTTGATTGGACGAGCTTTAGTTTGATTAGATTTTTCTTTCTGTTCTGCAATGCGATTGGTTAGTGTTCTCTAAGTGGCCCCACTTACAGTAGACGCACTGTAACTGATGTCAGATACACAAAAACGAGGCTCTATAGCCAAAGTGATGTATTTTCCGGAAGGCTATGTACTGTTTTCTTTCCATGATATGTAGTATCTTTGTGACACTAGTGGCAAATAAATGAAATTGAGAGGCGTAGTTTAATTTTGTTAATCTAAGTGTCAACACTTGTAAAGATGACCACCAACTGCTACCCTGAAACCCTGTGATCCACCAACTGGTTGCCATTGACTTACTCTGTGCCATTGACAACGCTAAATGCCACAACTTCAATATAAACATACCATGATATTTAGTTATTTGCATAATATATAAACTTTATACCATGAAATAGATTACAATCTGAGATCAATACACTTACTTTTAATTGACATTTGAAGCTTTAACTTATTATGAAATGAAATAACGTATTAGCACGTTACAAGATGTGTTCAAAGTGCAAAAATTATACGTAAGATTGATCTAACCTGCTGGTCTTTAACGGTGGGTTTAAATTTTTTATCGATTGTTCAGTTTGCATTAACCTTCGTCTCAGATCATAGCAATCCCGCATTAGCGGATCATCTGTAGTAGAGGCACTTGCAGAGGTCGTTAAACTAGCAGCACTTGATCTTCGACTCATGTTTGTTTACGTTTCAAGAAAAATAACAAAACCACTTCACATGTGGCGTCCTTAGTTTGTTTACAACTCGAACTATGCTCAACAGATCAGTTCGTTTTCCACCCTTTTTAACTAATATTTGTCATCCATAGCACCAAACACATATCCTTCCACGTTTCTACGAGCTGTATTTCTTCAATAATCAACTATAAATGCACTGGAACTCTCTATTTTTAACAAAATTTGAAAAAAAAATCAAACGAATTTTACTCCAATTTGTTTATTTTTGGCTTACAATAATCATAAACCGCCGCACTAATCTGATTGGTTAGGACTGTCACGTGAGCGAATTTTCCCTGAGGCATGGGAAAACCTTGGGAAAACCAGGGGGGGGACTGAATATTTGGTAATAAATCCATGTCCTATATACGCGAATATGAGACACACTCGCTCTATATTCACATGTACACCGTTATCCACTGTTATCTAGTGTCATCTACCGG